TCACTTTCTGATTTCTTGGGGAAGCCGTAAATAGATTTTTTAGTGATTAAGTTATAATTGAAGTCTTAGAAATTTTCTTAGCAGATTTCTAGTAATTTAGTCAAATGCACTTATGTAATATTAATATGAGATTATACATAAACCTAATTTGATTGTGTTATATTTTCTTATGGGCCTTGTCATGTCAAGAAAACAACAGAAGTATTGTCTTTCTTATGGATTTTAGGAAACATTAGGATTATTTGGGGCATAACTATATGATCTATAATTCTGTCTCCAGATGAAAAGCAAACGTGTTCTTTTCAAAATGTGAGCCTTCAGAATAACCCACTTATACCATTTTAATTACATTGAAAACTGAAGCCAAATCACATGTCAGCTCTAGTGGTCAGGACAAGAGAGGAAAAGTACTAGGCTTTGAGTGAATTCAGAGTATTTGTTTAATAGAAACAAGTGGCTCAATGATACTAAGTTTGTCTTAATAGATACTATAGAATCGCAGAACTCTGGGAAACAATTAGGAGGTAGATGTTTTGTATATTATCATGTCTTCATGATACTTATGACATCTGTGTGGAACTGGTCCTCATACAGTTTGTCAGTCATTGTTATCAGGTCCAGCCCAGCACTGCTAGTCTTTATGATACAACCTGACTTACATATTGTAAATGGAGCTTTGTAAAATACCATTAATTATTTCCCTGCATACATTTATTTGCAGGGGTTTGAAAACAAGGAGCATGAATGACCAGTAAAGTTAACCTGAGTTTCAACCTGACCATGAATTTGAGATTTGGACTTTATATCCCCCCACTTAGCATTTCAGGCACATTTCAGCACATAGTAAATGTTTGTTTGATGCATTAATATTGCTTTTGTGGTCCATACTGCCCACCCATGACCCTGCTCCCATGGTCCCTCCAGAGCACAGTCAAATGGCAGACAGGACCCTCTTGTCTGTCTCAGTGCACAGGGCTGCAGCCTGTGTGGGCCCCATGAAAGCATGAGAGTGGACAGCGCCATGGTTCATGGGGAGTGGGGTGGGCCATGTGGAGAAGACTGCAGGCAGATTTGGGCCAGATTTTCTTTCACACTGACAAGAAAAGAGACAAACTCAGGAACAGATTTAAAGAGCATTTGAGATAGATTAGAAATATTTTTTCTTAAATGTGTCCTGTTTAGTTTAAATACAAGTATTGACTGTTTTGACTGTTTTCACTTTCTTCTCCCATTACAAATAGCATTTTATTTCTAGAAATGCTTTTGTGGACTAATCTGGGATCTGCCCTCCTTTTATAATGTGAAAAAGATGCATTCTGAATTCCAAGTAATGACTGAGAGTGAATTTTCAGAGCCTAGTTTGTTCTCTCTGATGGAGCATAATTTGGTTATTTTCCCCTGATCATTCTTGCTGTGGACAGGAGAGCAGTCCCTGAGCCAGCACTTCTCTTCTCCCTCTTCACTGCTTCATTACTCGTCCTGTACTTTACTGGCCTCACAAGTTGATGCCTCACCCACAGATTTTCTAGAGCCCCACTAACCTACCTGTATTTAATGGAACAGCAGATTCTTTTTTAGACCATACCTTTTTGTTACTGAATTTTCTTTTTATTGTAGATCCTGGCTGGCAAGTTACAGAATATTTTTGTTGAACCTTCTTAAGAATTTAGAGAAGCTGCTGAGTGACCACTGAAAGAAAGAGTTAATCTTACTCAGTGAGTATTTTCTACTGTGAACTTCCTCACAATATATGAAATCTTCAGTGGACTGTGGCCGTGCATTAGGGCAGGTTCAACTGTGTGATAAAGATGGAAAAATGTTTTCTATAATTGGTCTTATTAAATGTGAGGATAAGGGTAGCAATTTCTCAAGTACACAAATGGATAAAATACACTACATTGATTCTCACCTAAAAAAATAGACAAGAAAGGCTTGTATTTTTTCTGAGCCAACATTTAGAAGAATCTAGGTCTGCATATCACAAGAATTCTTACTGGTTTTGAATAAAAAACACCAAGTAGATTGTTTTTTATTACCTGTTCATACAGAATTTAACCAAAACACATTACTTCTTGAAAAGCACTAGGTACATGGTGTTTTGTTTTTAAGAAGGTTCATAATAGCTTTGTCGTTCCATGATCCAATCCAGTAACTATTGTAAGGGAAAATAGAGAGGTTACTCTCAAAAAAAGAATTTTTGACTATTTTATCAATTGAATTATTCTTATTGAGTCTTTTTTTTTTTTTTTGAGTCAGAGTCTTATCTGCCATCAGCTGGAGTGCAGGGGCATGCTCATGGCTCACCACAGCCTCAACCTCCTGGACTCAGGTGATCCTCTCACCCCAGCCTCCTGAGCAATTGGAACTAGAGGTGTGCACCACCATGCCTGGTTAATTTTTAAATTTTTTTGTAGAGACAAGGTCCCACTATGTTGCCCAAGCTGGTCACAAACTGCAGCACTCAAGGGATCTTTCCCCCCAAGTGTTGGAATTACAAGTATGAGCTACCTTGCTGGGCCTCATTTTTAAAAAATCATTATATAGTATCATAAACTAAAGTTCATTTTTATCTTAGTATGTATCTGTGTGTGTGTGTGTCTGCATCTCTCTCTCTCTCTCTCTCTCTCCTTCTCTCTCTTTCTCTCTCTCTCTCTGGAGACAGGGTCTTGCTTTGTTGCCCAGGCTAGAGTGTAATGGTACAATCGTAGCTCACTGCAGCCTCAGACTCTTGGGCTCAAGCAAACCTCCTACCTCAGCCTCCCAAGTAGCTGGGATTACGGGTGTGTACTACCACACCCAGCTAATTTTTTGATTTTTTTTGTAAAGACACAGTCTCACTATGTTGTCCAGGGTGGTCTCAAACCTCTAGCCTCAAGTGATCCTTCCACCTCTGCCTTCCAAAGCTCTGGGATTGCAGGTGTGAGCCACTGTGCCTGGCCTGTAATTTCTAATTACTAGCAGATTTTTCCTTTTTTGGAATTATTCTTACCCTTCGTATCCAATAAGTCATTAAGCTGTGCTAATCCTATCTTCACTACTTATCTCCAGTATGTCCCCTTCTGTCTGCCACTGCCTTAGATCAGTTTCTCATCGTGTCTTACCTAGATTAGTCCATAGACCTACTGATTGATCTCCCTGTCGCCAGTCCTTTTCTCTCCAATCAACCCCCTCCATGTTGTCATCCAGGTAATCTTTCTGAACGATCAATAGTACCGTACCATTTCCTTGGCTAAAAATCCTTCAGTGGCTCCTCACTGAAATTCAGATAAAATAAACCTTACCATGGAGTTGTTAGGAAGATTAAATAAAATTCATTAAAAACCCCTTGTTGATGCCTGACTCAGAACAGTTCCCAGTATGTATTAATGCCACACTTTCCACAGAGAGCTCCTGGCAACAGCATCCCAGGACTAGGGGACAGAGGCTCTGCTGGGAAACCAGGCTGAAGGGAGCAGGGGAAGCAATCTCACCGAACTAGCAGCCATGCTCCCCTGAATCCCCTTGAGGGTAGGCACAAGAATAGACTGGTCTAGCATCCAAGTCTAGCAGAAAGAAAGACTTCACCAGATCCACTCTGCTAGCCAACCCTGTTTGTGACTAAGCTTTTGTGACCTTAGAGTAAGAGCCATCTCTACAAACACATCAGTCTCTGCCTTTCTGTTTTCTTGTTTGGGTTTGTTTTCTTTTCAGTTTCCTAATAAAGTTTCTTTTGGTAGGCCTTAACTATTTCTTAAATGAACCAAGGGAAAGAGATAGAGATCTAGATGTTTGCACTTGGGTAGTGCAGAATGTTCTGAGAGTTCAGGCCTACCAGTGGGGCAGGGGAGCATCAGTGAGAGGTGTGGGTATACCAGTGAGCCAAGCTAGGCAGAAAAGGAACACACCAGTGAGCCGAGCTAGGCAAAGAAAGAACATGCTGGTGAGCCAGGCTAGGCAGAGAGGAGGCATTCATATTGGACCCAGTTAGGGTTGCTGCTTTTGTCCTGCATCTGTATTCCCAAACAGACCTAGTTTTTTTTTTTTTCCCTCATCTTTCCATCTTCAGAAAGTGGGAGTTTGGCAAAGTCACATATTGAGATAACCACGGAACAGAGCAGAATAGGATTAATACTGTAAAAATAAGAATAATCTGAACTGATTTCATGATTATTTCTAGTTTTTTAAATTCAGTTATTTTCTTAGCCTTTCTCTTTATGAAAAGTTGACATCTGTGCTGTAAACATAGCATTCTAGCAGGTTCTTACTGAGTGTGAGTTATTTTCATGCAGATAGGTTTGTTTACCATATAGAATGTCTCAAGTACAAGAAGAAGCAAACATATGAAAGGGAATTACTTTGTATTCAATAAGAATGTCTACTAGCAGTAGCATTTATATGTGTATATATGTATTTGAAGTTTAAAAAGCATGATACATGTCGTCTGACAATGCAGTAAACTTAAATCTAAGCCATTATGTCTCACTTAAATATATCTCTCAATCTTTTTATATGGTGACGAGCAAAGTAATAAATTTGGTCCAGCAGATGTGAAGAAAATAAAACATTTTCATGGAAAATAAAATATAATTGATGACTTTGCTGTTGTTTCTTTTTGGTAAGGTAATTTGTTAGAGGCAGGAGACCAAGAAGGGTGTGAAATAGTGCTTTTTAAAATGACTTCATGGAGCCGGGCTCGGTGGCTCAGCCTGTAATCCTCCGCCTTTGGGAGGCTGAGGTGAGTGGATTGCCTGAGCCCGCGGGTTCGAGACCCACTTGGGCAGCGAGACCTCATCTCTACATAAAATCAAAAAATCAGCCAGGCATGGTAGCGCATGCCTTGTAATTCTGGCTACTTGGAAAGGCT